TTGTTCATTCCATCAGCAAGGGACTTAGGACCTGTGTGCTCAGGTTCAGAACGGCAGAAGAGGCAGGTTCTCCGAGACTGGGAAACTAGAAGTTTGAGGCCCTTGCCTGAAAGAGAAGTGCCATGGTATACAAAGAGGGCAAGGAGAGTTGAAGAGCTGCCATGTTGATCACATGTAAACAAAATTTACAAGTAGGAACTACGAGCAAGTAGAGGATACCGATTATATTTTTGGAAAGCTGACTTTCAGTAGCTTCTTCCTTAAAAACCACCGTGGCCAATTGCAGATCCTTGTGGAGACTCTTTCCAGATGCTTCTGTTTGCTCTTGCTGCTACTTATGCTTTCTTTGCCAAGGAAAGGGCTACAGCAGACTCTTCTCTTCTGTATTAAAGCTAGTTCTCTCCAAATCATGCTGCTTATCTTCCAAATGAAAAAGAAATGAGCAAAATCCAGCACACTTAGAGATTTCCAAGTTGGGAAACCCCAGAGCGACTCTTAACTGACCCCCACCTCCCATCTTTTGGAGCTCATGAAGCTCTTAATCAGCCAAAGCTGAGGTGGCAGATTGTTTTTCCCAAAGGGAGCTGTGACAACATGTCCCATTTCTCATCCTCTTCTGACATTTTACTTTGACACCCTGGAGCTACTGTGAATGTCGCTGCTAATGGTTCACAGCTGATCCCAGTCCAGAGACTTGTCCTTAGCCACGGGGAGCCTTCTCTCCCAGAGGATTGCTCCCAAAACCAAGAGAACCCTCAGCCAAAGCCAAGCTGACACAGGGGGACATACGGCCAGCCAGGCTGAGGCTGGTGTCCGGCTGAGGCCACCTTCTTGCTTAGCATCCCCACAACCTTGCCTTCCTTTCTCCTGAAAGTATTTCCTTAACATATCGCATGGATAAGTGTCCGCCACTTCAGGCTACTTCTGGGGATCCCAACCTAGGACAGACTTCTCCTGGGGAGAGGAGCAATTGTGCACGATTGATTGAAATCTATGTGTGGTTTTTTGTGATTGGCTGCTATAAAGAGTGTCTTCTTTTTAGTAATGTGCTATACTGGTATTGGCTTCCAGACTTCTCAAATCATTCATTCATTCACTCAGTCTGTCATTTAACAGCATTTATTGGCCACCCATGATATGCATACAATATGGAGTAAGACCTGTTTCTTTAAATATTTTATTATTAATTTATTCGAGAGAAAGAGCATGTGAACAAGGGGAGAGGCAGAAGGGGAAGGAGAGGGAGAGAGAGAATCTCAAGCAGACTCGTGCTCAGGGCAGAGCCCCACTCCAGGACCCTGAGATCACGACCTGAGCCAAAACCAAGAGTTGGACGCTTAACCCACTGAGCCACCCAGGTGCCCTGTGACCTGTTTTTACAGTGAAGGAACGTATGTTGTAGTAGGGAGGACTTACATGTCACCACAAACTCTAAGATAGAATAAAATATGAACTACAGCAAAGTAGTAGTCTATATCGAGAATGTAGAGAAAGGAGTGATTGATTTTGACTTAGAAAATCAGGAAAGAAATACACATGAGGAGGGAGCATTTCAACAGAGGCTCCAAAGGGGGTAGCATTTTGGTAGCTAGAGGATGCAAGAAAGGACTTTCCAAAAACAGGACCACCATGTAAAAGGCACCCATTCCTGGGGATGCATGCTGTGTTCTCTGACATTCCTGAGAAGCAGTCTGTGTCCTGCAGTAAATGTGCTTATCTCTGTTCTGTCCAATATGTGTTGAGTGGATATTTTTTAGGTGTAACTCGTAGAGGGCAGTATTATTTCTCTTACTTGTGTATTTCTGGAAGGAAGCCCTATGACAGCCCGAAATACTGATAGCAAAACCACCAGGTGTTACAGCAACCACCACAGGGATCTCCTAACCATATGTGGCGACAGGAATGACAGGAGCCCTGGCTGGCGGCTCTAGCCTTAAGTCAACATCATCTTCGGACAGGAGAAGCCTAGTCTGATGTCTACTCAAAAGCACCTCCCTCCAGGTAATCACCACCTCTGAGCCCCCAAACCAAACCTCTGTAGCTGGGTCATCTGCCTTTGAGCCTGTCAGGCACTCCCCCCGAGAGCTGGCTCACTGCAGCCCATCACAGCCTGTGTCCAGAACCATTTTGCCTCAGGGATAGAGCCTCTTTTATTCATATTTACGTAAGTACGGGTACTGTGATGGTGCCCTGCGCAGAGGAGGTCAATTAATGTTTATAAAATAAAATTTGATCTACCTGCTCGGCCAGTCTCTTCCCAACGAGAAGGGATCCCAGTCAAGTTAGAAACATTTTTAAAGCAGGTGTACGGACCAAAGTACCTGAGTCGCCTATAACAGGTGGAAGCCATGTGACTTTTCCCTAGCCATGCAAGGAGGCGACAGCAAGAAACTGAAAAGCCCCTAAAGGGGACATGATCCTGTGAAAGTCAGCGATTCACCCAGAGGGACACTCCCAGCCTGCATTGCCACAGACGGGTCTCTGTGCGTGGGTGACCTAACTGTCCATCCTTCCGGGAGTTTTCACGTGATCTTCCTTTGTATCTTTCTCTACTTTGCTACTTTTCCTATGCCTTTCGATCACTTCAAGGCTTGACTTTATTCATCATCTTAGACTTCTCATGTCTTTCTTTATTCTCCCCTCTTCCTTCTGACTCTCTTCCTGAATTAACTGGGATTAGAAGTACGCCAAGATCTACATCTAAGCATAAAATGAGGTTTAGGTTTTCTGGGTTTTTTTTTTTTTGAGGTTTATGTGTTTCAGGTATACAATAGTTCAACATTTGTGTGTATATATATAATATATATATATATATTGCAAAATGATCGCCACAATAAATGTACTTAGTATCCATCACCATACATAGTTACACATTTTTTTTTTCCTAATGGGAACCTCTAAGATTTACTCTTAGCAGCTTTCAACAAGCACTACAGTGTTATTAACTAGTCGCTCCGTTCTGAAGCTGTACAAGTACCATGCGGTAGTGGATAAACTAGCTGGGTGGTGCTGGTATCTCACCCCCACGCCCTGCCTCCCCTCCATCTCAGGGAAGTCTCTTCTTGCTAAGCCCCTTCCCACATGGGTTATGGTCTTATCCCCTCCCTTAACTGTCCTGTCTCCCCGTCCTAGCCTCTCCCCTCTGGTCTTCAGACACTAAAGCCCTCTCCTTCCTTCCTTCCTTCCCAGCCATCGCACTACTGCACAAAACTCCCTGAAAAATCGCCAGCACACAGTGCCTCCATATCCTCCCTCTTGGGCAATCCCTAAGCTCTCCCCGCACTACCCCCTCAGCCCCCCACCCCGGGAAATTACTCTGGCCCTGACCCCCAAGCCAGCGGAGCAGCCTGATCCAGTGAACTTTCTACAGCCCTTCATTCCGGGGGGGGGGGTCTCTGTAATATCTCATACCAACGATGCACCTGTGTCCTTCATTCATTTCCCTCACCTGTGAAGGCACAGACTGCCTCTCTCTCTCTCTCTCTCTATCTCTCTCTTCCCCTGAGACTCTGCTCTCCTCCCTTCACTGGCTCGTCCCCCTGCTTGTGAAAGGCCTGCTTTCCTGAGGAAGCACACCCCGATTTCTTACCTCCCCTCATCATCTCCAGCACCTCACTTGCCAAAGCCCCGGGCGGTGTCTCAGGGTTATCAGTGAGCCTGGGGTCTGAAGGGAGGCATTTTTATGCACAAATGTCGCCTTTTGTAAGCTGTGTGTAGCCTTCTATAAGGTGCTCCTGTCAACCCGGTTTTCACTGTTTAGCAAACAGGGCCACTTGGGCCTTGTTTCTTCCTGGGCTTTGGCTCTGAGGCTTTGGGCTTGGCAGGCAGAATTCAGCTGGGGAGCGCCCTGTGCAGGCTCAGAGAAGGTTCAACAGTGCGGGGAGGGGGGGTGTAGCTAGTTAACCATTCACCTCCCTCCTATGGGAGGGGGGGCAGCGGAGGCGCCCCAGTGGTCCTCGCGACCCACGCTGCACCTGCGAGGCACGGAAGCCAGAAGCCCCGAGCTGCAACCAGGTCTTCCTAATGCGCTTTGGGCTGCGATTCTGTTCACAAACAAGCACTTAGAAGAACTCAGAGAAAATCATGGCTTGGTAAGTGTCTTGGTCTAAGAAAGATGTGCAGATTTAAGAGTAAGCCATAACACCTCAACATGAGCTTTTCTTCCCCCAATTATTGTCATTATTGTTATTATTATTATTATGGAATGTTGGTGGGAAATGTTGAAAAGTCAGAAAAGTTGAAAGTACAGTGAAAATCTATAGACCCTCCATCTTCTTCAACAATTATTAATATCTGCCGGCTTTGTTTCCTCTCTGTATCTGTGTGCATATGCTCTTTTCTTTTTTTTCTGATTTCAAAATTTTAATATAAAACTACAATTTTCAAGACAGCATGGTATTGGCATTAGGACAAACATAACTATGGAACAGAACAGAGTCCAGAAATAGACCCATTGCAAATAATGGTTAACTGAGCAAACACGCAATCCGACAGTTTTTTCAAATGATGGTGAAACACCTGGATAAATGTATGGAAAGAAAGTGAAACTTGACCCATACATCACACTAAAATTCAAACAAATCTCAAACTTTTGCTTAGAAAGGAGACAACCAACCTTTTTAGAACTCTGACTAAAAGAAAAGCTGCATGAGTGGAATCCCTTTGAGGAAACCAGTGAGACTGCAGGATGCTTATGCTATCTAACTCCAGGGTCTGCTCAGTTTCCCTGGCTTACTTGATAATTTTTAGATGTTTCACACAGGCAATGTTTTGGGATGAGCTGAGCTCCAGGAGGCAGGGATGTTCCTGTATTTCTTACACACAAATATTTGTGGGTAATGTTTCTATGCTAGACAACCTATAACTTTAAGAAATTAAATACAACCAAAAGCTATGGATCCAAGATGACTAAGACTTAATGTTTTATTTTTTTATAAAAAAGATAGTCAAAATGTCACATGTGATTTTTCACGCAAACCATAAAATACTGTGCAATGAAATCAGTGATGAAAAAGCCGAAGACTCGTATGAGCAAGGATTATTCTTGTCTCGATCACAACTTTGTCAGCAGCAGAACCAGAAGGAGCAGCAATGTAGGCCACACCACTCCTTTTAGCTCTGTCTACATTATCCCTGAAAGGAAAAAAGGCATCAGAGCTGACAGAAACTTCACTAAGTTTGTCAACCCATTTCTTCTTCTCTTCTTCAGTTAATAATTCAGGCACTTCCTCAAGCAATGCCTTCCACTTTATCAAATCTTCATCCTCGCCAATGGTTCCAGTAACATACTGATCAATGGCATTGGGGATTTCTGCTCTCTTCACTCCAGTTTTAAACTTCATTGAAAGCACCTGTGGATGATGTCTAAGCCACCAATAGTTTGCTTTATCCCCTGCAAGGCGTGTGCAGTGTATTCGAGACTGCTGTCCTGCTCCAATGCCAATAACCTGACCATTCTTGGCATAGCACACGTAGTTAGACTGCGTGTACTTCACAGCAATGGTGGCTACGATGAGGTGTCTGTGTGCAGACTCTGGCAAATCTTTATTCTTGGTCACAACGTTGCTAAATAATGACCTGTCAATGACACCATTATTTCTCTTCTGACTTAAAAGAAGACCAAAGAGAGTTCGAACTTCATTTTCATCTGGTTTGTAGGACTGATCCATCTGAAGAACACAGTAACTCCCATTTTTCTTTTTAGAAAGTATTTTCAAAGCTTCATCTTCATATCCTGGGGCAACAATACCATCAGATACCTCTCTGGAGATAATTTTGGCAGTAGGGACATCACAAACATCAGATAATGCAACAAAGTCACCAAAGGAAGACATCCTATCAGCCCCTCTTGCCCTTGCATATGCAGCTGATATGGGTGTAAGAGTTTTATACAGATCGTAGACCATGCAGACTTTAGCTTCATCTTCACTGAGTGGGATTCCAACAGCAGCACCTGCTGGGCTGACATGTTTGAAAGAGGCAGCGGCTGGAATGCCTAAAGCTTCTTTGAGTTCCTTCACCAGCTGCCAGGCATTCAAAGCATCACACAAGTTTATAAATCCAGGGGCTCCATTTAGAACTGTGATGGGAAGCTTGGGCTTCAGTGTGTATAACTGGGCAGGAGTTTGATGAGGGTTCATTCCATACCTCAAAGGCATCTGAGATATTCCTTTACTATACTGTCTCCTGAAGTAATCTGAAATGGCTTCATCATATTGTGCCGTATGAGTGAAAGCCTTCAAGGCTAACTGGCGTCTAGTCTCCAAGGAGGTGTCTTTGCTGTCAGAGCTTTGCAGCTCTGTGGACACGGCCACATAGTCCTCAGGGTCACATACGACTGTCACTCGAGCATGGTTTTTGGCTGCTGCTCTCAGTAGGGTTACTCCACCAATATCAATCTGCTCAACAGCCTGTTCAACAGTTACATCTGGAGGAGCCACTGTCTTCACAAAGGGATACAGATTACAGACGACAACTCTTATAAGACTGAAATCAAGTCTGGCCATGTCAGCACTATCTTCTGGGACATTACGAGCCAAGATTCCAGCATGGACTGCAGGATGCAAGGTTTTCACACGCCCCCCTAACATTTCAGGAAATCCCGTCAGCTCAGAGACATCTCTGACTGCCAGACCCGCATCCCTGAGAGCTTTTGCGGTCCCTCCAGAGGCGATCAGATTCAAACCAACAGAAGTTAGGTTTCTGGCAAATTCCACAAGGCCCGTTTTGTCAGAGACACTAAATAAGGCGAGCTGACTGGGTGCCATGGCTGCGGGCTGCGGGCTCGGGGTCTGGGCCCAGCGGGGGCGGCAGCGGGGACGCCACCTGTGTGCGTATGCTCTTAAACAATTCTGTATATTACTCAGTGATCACCATGATAAGTGTAGTCACCATCTGTCACCATACAACCTTATTACAATATTATTGACTCTGTTCCCTATGCTGTACTTTTCATCTCTGTGACTTACTTATTTTATAACTGGACGTTTGTACCTCTTAATCCCCTTCACCTATTTCACCCATCACCCATGCCCCCACCCCTCCCTTCTGGCAACCACCATCTTGTTCTCTGTATTTATTAGTCTGTTCCTGTTTTTTTTGTTGTTTTGTTTTGTTTTGGGTCCATGTTATAAGTGAAATCATATGGTATTTGTCTTTTTCTGCCTGACTGATTTCACTTAGTGTGATACCCTCTAGGTCCATTCATGTTGCAAATGGCAAGATTTCATTCTTTTTTATAACTGAGTAATAGTCCAGTGTATATTTACTACGTCTTCTTTATCCATTCCTCCATTGATGGACACTTGGGTTACTTCCATATCTTGGCTATTGTAAATAATGCTGCAAGAAACATTGGGGTGTATATATATATCCTTTCAAAGTAGTGTTTTCGTTTTCTTTGGGCAAATATCCAGTAGAAGAATGACTGAACCATACAGTATTTCTATTGTTTAATTTTTTGCAGAATCTCCATACGGTTTTCCAGAGTGGCTGCCTCAATTTATATTCTCACCATCAGTGCACGCGGGTTCCTTTTTCTCCACATCCTCGCCGATGCTTGTTATTTCTTGTCTTTTTGACACTAGCCATTCTGCCCGGTGTGAGGTGATATCTCATGTGGCTTTGATTTGCATTTCCCTCGTGATCAGTGATGTTGAGCATCTTTTCATGTGTCTGTTGGCCATCTGCGTGCCTTCTTTGGAAAGATGTCTATTTGGGTCCTCTGCCCATTTTTAAATTGGATTATTTGGGTTTTTTGGTGTGAGTTGTGTAAGTTCTTTATATATTTTGGATGTTAATGCCTTATCAGATACATCATTTGCAAATATCTTCTCCCATTCAGTAGATTGCCTTTTCGTTTTGTTGATGGCTTCCTTCACTGTGCAGAAGTTTTTTATTTTGGTGTAATTCCTAATAGCTCACTTTTGTTTCCCTTGCCTGAGGAGACATGTCCATAAATATGCTGCTCAGGGGGATATCCAAGGGATTATTGCCTGTGTTTCCTTTTAGAGGTTTTATGGTTTCAAGTCTTACATTGTGATGTGAGAAAGTGGTACATATTTTTTTTTAATCATTGGAAAGTAAGTTGTAGACATCATGATATTTGAATCCTAAATACTTCAGCACACGTCTAAGAATAAAGACATGCTTCTCTCTAACCACAAAAGCAATATTACACCTAAGGAGATTAACAGTCATTCCATAATATTATCTAAGAGCCATGCCCTATTTAAAATTTCCCAATCATCCTAAGAATCTTTTATCGCTTTGTTTTCACCAAATCAGGATTCAGCTGAGATTCACACATTACATTTTGTTTTTATTTCCTTTGGGTCTATTTATTTTATTTTATTTTTTTACAGATTTAATTTATTTATTTGAGAGAGAGAGCAAGAGATCAAGCAAGAGAGCACAAGCAGGGGGAGGGGCAGAGGGAGAAGCAGGCTTCCCGAGGAGCAGGGAACCCAATGTGGGGCTCAATTCCAAGACCCCGGGATCATGACCTGAGCCGAAGGCAGACGCTTAACTGACTGACCCACCCAGGTGCCCCTCTTTTGGGTCTATTTAAAAAATCTTGTTTACTGATAGAAAATCAACGTAATTTTAATGCATCTGTGTTAAGTGTACAGTTTGGTGAGTTTTGAAATAAATAAATAAATAAATAAATATATATATATATATATATATATATATACACACACACACAGACACACACACACACATATATATGCACCTTTCAATCAAAATATAGAAAATGTTCTGTCATGCCACCTTCGCAACCATTCACCCATTCACCCCCTGTCCCAGGCAAACACTGATCTGATTGTTATCACCGTAAATAGCTTTGCCTGGTCAAGAACTTCAGAAATCCAGCAATATAGCTTATATTCTTTTTTGTATGGTTTCTTTTGATCAGCATAATATTTTTGAGACTCATCCATGTTGTTGTATATATGAGTAGCTTGTTCCTTTTTGTTGCGGAGTAATATTCCATTGTATGAATATACTAGTTTGTTTATCCATTCACCCGTTGATGAACATCTGGATTATTTTTAGTTGGGCGTTATTATGATTAAAGCTACTATGAACATTCATGTACAAGTCATTTTGTGGACATATGTTTTCATTCCTCTGGGGTAAAAATCTAGAAGTAGAGTTGCTGGATCATATAGTTAATGTATGTTTAACTTTATAAGAAGCTGCCAAACTGTTTCCCAAATTGTTCATAACATTTCACACTATTACCAGGAATATATGAGAGCTCTAGTTTCTCCACATCCTCACCAATGCTTAATATTAAAAATCTTTTTGCTTTTTGCCATTTTACTGGGGATGTAGTGGTATCTCAGTGTGGTTTTAATTTGTATGTCCTAGATAACTAGAGAAGTTATATGTCTTTTCATGGGTTTATTGCTCACTTATATCGTATACAGGTGACCCTCGACAACGTGGGGTTGAACCATGCAGGTCCACTTAATATGTGGATTTTTTTTACAGTACTGTAAATGCATTTTTTCTTCCTTATGATTTTCCTAACATTTTCTTTTCTCTAGCTTACTGTATTATAAGAATACAGTACATAATACTTACAACATACAAAATATGTGTGAATTGACTATTTATGTTATTGGTTGAGGCTTCCAGTCAACAATAAACTATTAGTAGTTTTGGGGGAGTAAAAAATTATACGCTGATTTTTGACTGCACAGGGGACTGGCAGCCCAGCCCCCGTGTTATTTAAAGGTCCACTGTATATTCTTTTTGGGATCTGTCTCTTCACATCTTTGCCCTTTTCAAAAATTGGGTTGTTATTTGTTGTTGAAGTGCACCTGTGAATCTTTTGCCAGGTTTATGCATTATAAATAACTTCTTCCAGGGACTTGACTTTTCATTTTCTTAATGGTGTCTTTTGAGGAGAAGTTTTTAATTTTGATAAAAATCCAATTTATCAATATTTTCTTTTAAGATTGGTGCTTTTTCTATTCTGTCTAAGAAATCTTTGCCTACTCCAAGGTTAGAAAGGTTTTCCTCTATGTTTTTTTTTCTAGAAGTGTTGTAGTTTTAGCTTTAACATGTAGACCTATAATCCCTTTAGAGTTCATTTTTATATATAGTGTGAAACTGGAGTTAAGATTTTTTTCATATATATGGTCAATTGTTCTAGTACCATTTGTAGAAAAGACTGTTTTTTCCCCGTTGGATTACCTTAAGCAATAAGTTGACCATAGATCCGTGGGTCTACACTGGATTCTGTTCTGTCCCATTGTGTATCCTATGCCGATATCACAATGATTACCAAGGTGTTATAGTCGCTCTTGAAATCTTCCAAATTTGTTCTTCTTTTCCAAAATTATTTTGAGTCTTCTGGTCCTTTACATTTTCATGTAAATTTTGTAATAATCTTCCCAATTTTTATTTTTTTAAATGCCTGTTGAGATGGTGATTGGGATGGTTTGAATCTACAAATCTGTGGGGAAAACTGACATTTTAACAATATTGATTCTTTCAATCCATGAACATGGAAAATCTGTCCATTCACTTGGAGCTTGTTTAATTTCAACAGTGTTTAGTCATTTTCAGTACACAGAGTGTGTGTGTGTGTGTGTGTACACACACATATACACATGCACATATACATATATGTTTATATATACGTTTATCTGAAACATTAATTTTTTGACCTTGTAAATAGTATTTCCTTTCCCAATTGTTTATGCTGAAATACAGACATACAATTGATTACTATATATTGACCTTGTGTTTTCCATCCTTACTAGGTGTCCCTTTTTGGTTTTAGTAGCTTTTCTGTGGAATCCTGAGGATTTCCTGTGTTCACAACCATGTTTTAGTTCTTCCTTTCCAACGTGTGTGCTCTTTTTCCCCTTGCCTTTTGGCACTGGCGAGGACCCACTGCAGAATGTTGACTAGAAATGGTGAAAGAAAACTTCCTTCCTTGTCTCTGATATTAGGAGGGAAATATTCTGCCATTTACCAAAAAGTATGATGTAGAAAAAGAAAAAGATTCATAAAAAAAGCATTTTACAAAACTCAAAATCCATTCATGATTAAAGTTCTTGGCAAATGTGGACTAAAAAGTCAAAGGCATCTATCCTTGCTGTTTTCTTTGAAGATTGTTGAATTTTGATTTCACGGATAGTTAATTTGTATGTGGATTAACTTGATTCTTTGAAGACTTACTTTTAAGCTTTATTGAGGCAGATCTAGAGTAGCTAGTTAGCCCTAATCCTGAGGTGTCACCTTTCTGGTAGTCTACTCAAAGCCCTTGGGATTCAATGAGGCCTTTCCCCGCTGGTTGGTCAAAACTCAAGCATCTCTCACCTCTGTGTGAGTTCCAACAGCTGTTATGTTTACAGCTCCATGGTAGCCTTTCTTTTAAGCTTGTGGCATGTCCCCCTATACATGTAGAACCTAGTATTTAGCCAAAGACTCAGAGGAAATCCAATGGCCTGGAACTCTTTCTCTGGTTAGTTTCTTCCTCAAAAATATTCTGCTGTGGAAATCCAGCTGCCTCAGCCTCCGCCTCCGCTGCAACTCCAGTCACCTGCCTTGTCAGTTCTGTGAGAACGCTGTATTCCGTGTGTGCCCTCCTGCCTGCGTTGGGAAACGCAGACGTCCCGGTGAGAAAGCCTGGGTGATTATAGCTTCACCGTGTTTGTTTCCTTTCTCTCAGGAAGTCCACCCCTGTGCCGCCAATTTTTTCATGTCTGAAAACAATTACTCAATGTTTTATCTGGGGTTCTAATTGTGTATGGCAGAATGGCTAGCCAGTACTACTTACTCTGTCATTGGTGGAGAAG